GTGCCGTGGAAGCCGTTGAATCCACAGCATGGTATACTCCTACCTTGGGAATCCGTGACCACCTGAGTGACTTCAGGAGCTGAGGCCACCATCTTTAGGCAGTCCCGGTCCCTGTTCCACAGGAAGAGCTCTCCAGAGCTGAGAAGGCCTGCCAGCCATGCACCTGGAAGCAACAGACCAGCTGAACAGGCTCAAGTATAATCAGGAGTTAGATTATAACTTACAGTTGGCAAATGTCAAGACAAGGTTATCAGGAAATAAATAATACATCTTGTGGTTAGCTGAGAAGGGAAGGTAATCCACGTCTACATATACAAGTCACTCTACGATGAAACATGTTTCAAAAGGCTGTGGATAACAATTTACAATTTAGCCATGAGTGCGAGAAAGTCAGACACGAGCTGGTGGTCCAAAAACTTTTTACTTCATTTCCACATATTTGTATGAATATCTTCACAGTCCACATATCTTCATATCTACAAAGCCAAATACATTTACCCTGGTGTATCTGAAGATCAAAGGTTAAAGTCTTGTCAATCTTTTAAGCTACTTTTAAAGAACACAGGGTGTTCAAAATGGAATTATGCCACAGTCTGTTTGTTAAGGTCTCACATATAAAACTCCTGCCTATCCACCCAATGGACTGCTGGACAAGCTTGATGGTCATGCAGCTGATACTGCTCAGTGGAAACTCACCGTTACCGGACCCTGACATGGTGATCACATTTCTCAGCAGAGGCTGAAGCTTGGGGATTTTCTTCTTTGTTCTTCCAGACACCAGGTTGATCTCGCTGATCCGCTTGTCATCCAGCAGGAAGACAGACTCCTTCTCCTTCAGAAGTTACATAGCAACTTGAACTCACATGCACACCATCTTAGAGTTACAATATGAGTGTCATGGACAACTCATTATGGATCTCTGACCATTCTAGTTTCTTAAACCCTGTCATGCAATAACAACCTAGTTGAACTCTCCATCTCCACTTCCATTCTACTCTGATTTATTGAAAAACACAACCTTATAACCAAAATAACAGTTTAATATGCTTCCTTTTACATGTTGATTAAACTAACCAGCGGAATAAAGCCTGTTGTAATAATTGTAAGCCTTTCTACTGTTTTCTTGTAGGCAATTTAGAGAATAGAGATTGTAATCAATAAAAGAGAGCTACAGGATTACATTATGACAGACAGCAGAAAGTCTTTTTTTAGTAAAATGACAACTCCCAGGATCTGATCTTCCCACAGTCCTTCTGAACTTGCACCGTAAATTTGATCTTTTATTTGGCACAGGCGGCTACATCAGGCCCTTCGTGACACACAAGGCCAATATTTAGGGGCGGGGGGTCACTTGCACCTGCTCCAGCCTCTGCTTGGTGTTTTTTGTGACCTTGCAGTTGGGGGGAATGCACAGCGGAGACTCCTCACCTGCCCCAGCCAGCAGAACGCAGGCCATGGTTTTCTCCTCTTGATGCTGGAGGACTGCACCACCTCCAGTTTCACCTCCATACTGACCCCACAGCAAAGGTCTAGAGGAGTGGGCTTGTAATCCACACCACTGTGCCTGAAAAAGACAGGAGAACTGTTCATCCAATTGAACGAATGGAACAGGAAGTGCAATGAAGGGAAGACGCAAGAGGAAGAGTCACACTCCTGTGTGTTTTCCAGTGACTTCTGCCACATCACTGAGAGCAATCACAACAATCCTACAACACTTGTTCTCCACCATCAACAGACAGCTTGAGCCAAACCACCTCACCACATTACCTACCTCATCCCAACTCTGAAACACATTCTTAGAGTTCTCTAGCTCCGAGTTCAACAACATCTGGCATCACATTCTCTCTGTAATGCATATTAACTCCGCACCTATCCCTGCAAGCCTAGTTTTGCTGGTTCCCTTCTCTCTAACTCACTCTGCCTGACGCTGCATGCCTTAGTCAACTGGTATCGTGAATGAAATCCACCACTTGCCTGTTACATCCCATTCCCACTGTCTTATTTCAATCCTGTCTCTTTACTCTCTGCTCTGTTGTCCTCAACATTATAAATGAGTCCTTGAGCACTGGTGTGGTACCAACAGCCTTCAAAACAGCTGTTGTTACTCCGTGCCTAAAATACCAAACATGGCTCTGGTCAACCTAAACAATTTTGGCCCTCTATCCAGTCTATGCTTTCTCGCAAAAAACAGTTAAACCATCTCATTAGAAATGACCTCTTCAAATCTCCCCAATCTGGTTTCAGACAACTACACAGCACAGAAACTGCCTTGGTTAGAGTCACTAATGATCTTCTTATGGCTGCTAATTCCAGTTCTCTTTCTATTCTTATTCTCCCTGACCTCAGTGCTGCTTTTGAAACCATTAACCATAATATCTTACATTATCATCTTGAGACTGTGTTTGGAGTCTCTGATACTGCTCTTATATGGTTCAAGTCTTACCTCATGATTTTTCTCTCTGAGGTTTCAGTTCAGAAATTGGAACTCTATTCAGCATTAACGTATTACCACTTGGTCAGCTATTAAGATCACATGGTCTAAATGATCATTTCTATGCTGATGATACTCAGATTTACATCCATACTAAACCTGACACTGAAGTGGTTGTAATTGCTATATAAAATAAAGTTATTATTAAAATGACCTGTTTCTACACAGGGGTTAGAGATTTGGAAACAGAACGTCTGACACACTCACGTAATTGCAATCACCTTACAGGTATTCCTTTTCAAGAAATAAGCAGAAATAATAATTTATATAAATAAGGCAACCACCACTTTCGAAATATTAAAATCAAACTTGTAAGTCAGCAAATCCAACAACTCCATCAGAGCAATTAAACTGCGTTGATTTTACATGCAGCTGAAGTGCTTCATTTTCTCCGTGTTTTAGACGAGCTCATAAACCCCAAATTCGGTAAATTAGAGAGTTTAGGCTGAAATCAAAACATTATACCCCGCGATTCTCCAGCAGAACTGGAGTCCAATTACGTTTTGTAACGGCAATTCCGAGAAAGTAAAAAAGTAGCTGGAATGGATTGGAAAGACAACTGAAATAACTTGAAATCACTTAATTCCTGGTCTCCAGCACCAGATGATAAAGGGCCACTTGCTTAACCTGAAAACAGCGTTAAAAAATGCCCATCGCAGTTTATTCGCCATGAACAATAACAGTAAAAGAACATCCTATTGTGATTTAACCCCTTCTGCACGCAACTTTTATAACTCGTCAAATTAAAACCAAGTACAGTTTTGATGTGAAGGCACAGGTCTGCGAATTTAGCAGACATACAGTATTTCCTCCTCGCTGCTGTCACGGATTTAGGATACTTGCACGTCTAAAAGTAACGCGAATTAACATTTTAAATGTACTCCTTTAAATGTCCGCAGGTAAAAAAAACTCAAAACCGCAGTTTCATCGGAGGTGATTAAATAAATCAATTTAAATATCAATAGGAGACACGGTCGCAGTGCATTCCTTGAAATACAACCTGCATTTGTCAGTGAAGTGTGCCTCTTTCCCCATCAAATAATACATTATGTCGACCCGGCAAATAAAAGACTTAAAATCTCTTGTAACTAAAATGTAGCACTGCTTGTTACTGTACGGTTATGGTCTTGTTCTATTTTTCGCGAAACGTAGAATTAAGGAAACGGTTATCAAAACGAAATTATAAGCGCAAACGCTAATGTAGGAAAAGAGACAGGCCGGTTCCTGGGAGACAGCTTGTTTTCCTTCCCAGCCGATTGAATACAGTTACAGCGCCGCTAACTGCAACAAGAGCCTTCCCTTAGACATTTTGACATTTCTTACCGCGATTCATCTGTTCAATGGATAAACGTCTTTTTAAAAAAACTTGTTAGCATCCCCGCATTTAAATCTCCCTCCGCTTCCGGAATCCAGAACAACTTCCCAGGTCTTCGCTCAGTGCGTAACGCAGCCGTGGTTCGGTTGCCAACCGCCTCTCCAGCGGCCGCCGCTGCTGCAAAAGCCGGGAGAAGCAGCTCAGTTCCCGGGAGCTGGAGTCGCTCCACAGCGGCCTCCGCCGGGGGCTGGGGGAACTGCCTGTTATTGGCACAACCAAGGAGCGGTACAGTGCACAATTCAATACATTCCCCGGGAAATCTGTGTCCGGATTACTGTCGCACTGCCAGGATTTCAGGGTTTTTTCTGCAAGGGGAAAGGCCATGCAAAAAAACAAACCGAAAACACAAAATTTATTATGTAAAAGAAAACGATGTTTGAAGCAAAAATGATTTTACCTCCAAACCTATCAGTTAAACATACGTCCGTCCGATATCCAAAGCAAAATGAGAAATTATTTAAGAGTAAACCTATCTAAATAATGATGCATTAACACTTTGCAGGGACAAAAATAAGTTAATTTTTGTCATTCCGAGGTGTACTGTATGTTGGCTTCATCAGAGTGTTGAAAAGCTTGCGTTATTAATGTTGTTGTTTCTGTTATTATTACGCAAGAATTAAACGGTGTGCTTGAAACTTGATGAACTGTGCTAGGCTGCTATGAATTGTTAGGAAATTAACTTCTGCACTCAGAAGTTAGGATTTCGAGAGTGGATGCAGCGACATCTGAAACACAAACAGGTTAGTTAGCAAGTGCCTATTAGTTGGCTTCCGAAATATGTGTACACCAGCAATCTGATGTGTTGTGACAATTTACAGCACATGTTTTAGAAAGATGCCTCATTTCTCACTAGTCTGATGCAAGCATTCAGTTAGGGGGTTCACAGCACCACCATCTCTAGCCAGATACAATAAAATACAAAATGAGTGAACGATTTCATTGCACACAATGCATTGTGATGGATCACTGAAGGCAGGAGAAATCTAGAAAACACACCAATCCAAATTTTATTGAACATTTGCATCTTGTGCATCTCTCATGCATAGTATGGGTGGCACGTCCATTCTCCTACAACCGCCCATCACTGACAATGAAAGACGTTCAGCTGATGGGAGGGGAGACTCTGGCCTCCAGTCTCCTGGGGATTTTTCATTGGACACAGGTGCAGCCCCTAGACTTTATCAGAGCTGTTCTTTCTGCCTTTCCTAACAGAGGCAGCTGAAGGGGAAGAAATCCGATCTGTGTTCGGAAAGTGCGTGTTTCTCCAGTACATGTGTATGTTCCCGTGTACGCTGGTAGCATGGATACCGTGGGTGTAATAGAATCAACTGTCCGGGCGTCAATGTGCTTCTTGGGGATAATGGGAAACAGCATGCTGGTGTTGCACTCCCTGCCGAGCAAGAGGAGTCACCTCAAGACGTCTGAAGTCCTTTTCATCAACCTGGCCGCCTCCAACTTGATCACCAACTGTCTGGTGGACCTGCCCGACACCCTGGCCGATATCGCCGGGCGCTGGTTCCTGGGAGAGGCCTACTGTGGGATCTTCCTGTTCTGCTCGGACCTGTCGGAGACCAGCAGCGTCCTGACCACTCTGCTCATCAGCGTTTTCTGGTACCAGAAGCTGGTGGGCTCGCTGAAGCGGGGCAACGCCCCCGTGAAGCTGGACAGCCTTGGCCTGTCCTGCGGCCTGCTGGCGGCCAGCTGGGGCGCAGCTCTGGTCTTCAGCGTCCCCCTCCTTTCCTTCGTGACCGTGGGCAGCAACAGAAGCGCCAGCCAGGACTGCCAAGCCCACTTCCCCACCCACGCCTCCAAGCAGACGTATGAGGCCACCTACTTGACCCTCGCCAATGCAGTGCCAGTGGCTTTCATGGTCTTCACCAACCTGCAGATAGTGATCACGTTGCTGACGCAGAGGAAACGCATAGAGGCTCTGAAAAAGGAGGCCCGACTCCAGCCCGCTGCGGAGCGCGCCCAGCCCACGAGCACAGGACCGGATTCGCCACGGGAATTCTCGTCTGTCTCTACGCCCGCCGGCAATCAGAACCCGAGCAGTCAGGCTCTCGCCGACCCTGCCGGGAAGGGGCGGCTGGACGCTCTCGCCCGTGCAGCAGCAGTAGCTCCTCCGCGGTCCAGGAACGCACCGCGCCAGCACCCGGGGGCGCAGGTCAGGGCGGCCATGAGCGTGGTGGCGGTGGCCAGCGTGTTCCTCGTGTGCTGGGTGACCCACCTGCTGCTGCGGATCGCGAGCAACGTGAACGAGTCGTCCGCCATTGTGGAGATCGCCAGCTACATCGCAGCCTCGTACACCTGCATCATCCCATTCATCTTCCTGCACGGGGTTAAGAAGCTCTCCTGCCGCTGCTGGAAGTGACAGCCCGCGACACAGGGACTCGCACTCCAGGAAATCACAGCTCAGGGTATTGGATTTGTGTGAGCTTTAAACTCCTTGTTTGTTACACGCATTAGGTCAAATTGATTCGCATCAAAAATGGAGATAAGAAATTCAGACAGATGACTTTAGGCACAAGACCTGTCAGAAATAATTCTACTTAACGCTAGCACTAGCACAAAAAATGAAATTACACCATTATAAAATAATATAATTACTATGAATGCCATGAAGTAATACAACTCATGTTCTTAGGGACTGTACATCCTGTCTGCATCTGACGCTACATTATTCATTATTCATGAGGAACATATTTTTCTCAGGATATAGAGTATCTGACTACTAGAGAAAATCTAATGTATTGCAATTATTCATTTTTACTACTATATTCTTTTTACTACTAAAGAATGCAAGAGATAAAGCAAGATGCATTCATGAAATCTAAATATCTAAATAAAAGGAACACAAAATTTAAAAACAGGTACTCAAGGTCAGATTGTGTTTTTAGAAATGATGCTGCTTAGAAACCTGTTCTATGAAATAATGCTCGTCTGATTCTGTTGAACTTTTTCATGATTTGATACAGCATGTACTTCCTCTTAAAGAAACCTTGTGTAAAAAAATATATATTTTCTTTTAGCTGAATGAAATTCTAACATTTGTAGCAAGCTGCTACAGACGATTATGCAACACACCTGTTATTTTTCTTTATATTGTTCATAGCTTGAGAAGGGTTCAAGTATAGTTATATGTCCATTCAGTGACAAAACAGTAACGGTAACAGTAGTGGTTCCTTATTCAGGGAAAAATGTGTTTGGATTCTAAAGCATCTTGGAAAATGCTTTCAGGTGGTGTTCCTGGTTTCTCGGCAAACTTGTCCTCAATCCTCATGTCTGCATTTTGTTTAAATCACGGGCTTGGAAAAGTATCCCCACTGTTCTACTGCATCCTAAAGGTACAGAAGAAATACAAGCAAATAAACTATTCATAAACACCAATAAAGAGCATCTGGGGAATTTGTCTCTGCAAAAATTGAGTTCTGAAGTAGAGCTGACCTATAAAATAACTGCCTGACTTGAGCCAGTGCTGATATTAAGGACCGAGGTAAGCAGGTAACAGTCCATTTTACGGATAAGGAGAGGTATTTAAAAAATGCAAAAATACCATTGGTTCCAATATTCATTTATTGCATTTTTACGATCTTTCTGTATACTGAAAGGTCTTAGGGACTTTTGGTTTTCTTTCCAGTACAGAAAGTCACTACCAATATGGAACACTAGTTTTTTGCTGTTTGATATTCACTCTTTGGATATTATGTTATGACTTTATTGGTCTGGCAGTTTTAACAAAACTGATTTACATTACTGCAGCTGGGTATTTTTATGCTGCTTGTTTAAATCTTGGCCAAAACCTCCCAGGATTTAGCCTTGCAACCTGCTTGGTAGGATTCTAGAGCCCTCACCACTGCTCTGTATTATGCATATCCTTCACGGTGTTCAGATACTGTATCTATCCTGTATAAACTGCATCAGTCTCATTTTAGGTTAATAATATACAGGAAACTAATTTTTAGCCAAGAGCTCCTTCAGTAAAAAAGGCAGTGTTTCTAATTAAGTGCAACATAAAAGCAGTGAGCATTATTATTTAATAGTTCAGGTGGGTAGCTGCGTCAGCATGCATAGGCTGCAAAGGAACAAGTAATTAGTTTATTCCATGCTGAAAAGAGAAGAGAGAAAACACGTTTCAGCTGTGGAGCCTTCTTCAGGTAAGACGCCAGAAGAAGGCTCCACAGCCAAAACATTGTTTTCTTTCTTCTCTTTTCAGCATGGAATAAACCTATTACTTGTTCCATTATTTTTTAATGTTGAGCTGCTTTCCCTTTTGGACTTTTCACCCAGAAATTCTAGGCCCTGTTACTGTGTTTTCTTTTACTATCTTTGCTACGTATTGGGACCTGTTGTGTTCAGTCTCAAAGAATAATTCATAGAATTTTGTTAATTTCCATGGAATTGGACAGTTTCTGTACACAACTTAGAATTGTGAATTATAATGTGCGATATAATCATCTAATGACACATTGATCCTGTGGTAGTAGGCCCAAATTACTTTGTTAAACTACAATCAATGAAGAATGGGTTTCCAGTAGTGGCTAATTTTAAAATCCAAGATCCAGCTGGCTAACAACTTGAAAAGAAGTCAAACATCACAATCTATTTTGATCAATAGGTGTTTTAGAATAATTAGCTCCAGGACACTATAGAACAAGCAAAATCTAAGACCATGTTTTGACAAACAAGAAAGCACCAAATTTCACCCTTACCTATCACATCTTCCCTTTACTTAATTTACAATTTTCAAGGTCAATCAATCAAAATTCAACTGTCCATCTCAGTAACTGCATCATCCCAGGAGAGTCGCAGTCATCCAGAGCCTCAAACAGCAGGTACAGGAGCTTCCTTGTTCCTAATGACCTAAATCATCTGTATTAGATAATTGGTGCCGACAGCAGGTGGACAGTTGGACAATGAGAGCTCTTTAACGCAACCAGCAGTTATTAACAAATTATCTCAGCAGGTGCTAACTTGCCTACTAAGATCCATCATGTAGTCCCTTGCTAGTTGCAAAATGGTTCTAAAAATCACATCATCACAACACAATAACTGCTTATCCACTTGACGGTTTTAGTGGCCTGAAGCCTATTCCAGTAAGCTGTAAGGTGGGAGTTTCCAAAAATGTCACAGAAAAAAAAAGCAGCAGTACCCCCTTTAGCATTAAAAAGATGAAAAATAGTATTAGCACTTCAGGAAGATCATGTTAATAACCTCAGAGACCTAATGGTTATTTACGTACATTCATGTCCGAGAACAATTTAGCTAACGTTTTACAGACATGAACAAGCTTAACTATACAAACATGACCTCTGCAAAATAAAAAAAAACACAATTATGAGTTTGTGGTGCTTTAACAAACATTTTTAATTCACATGTACATGGATTTTAATGAGCTATAATGTAGTCCGACAGCATTTGTACCACCACTTGCACTTTCTTACCACATAGGATCAAGCAGTCTCTGATGAACCAATAAGGGTCTGTGGAGGATTTTTTTAAACATCTTGGACTCAATGTCTGATTAACTCGTTAGGGAGCATCGTGGTCTCTGCATACATTGTCCTATATTTTACACAAATATTTATTTTTTAAAAATTGGGGACTGCAGTGAAAACGGCCCTCTGCAGGAATGGAGAACCGCTCTCTTTCTCAGCTCGGTACAGCGGACAAACTGAATTATAACTGGCTCTTCTAAAATGATATGAAAACAAGTAAAAATTGAGGCCCATTAAACCTTAGACACCTACATGAAGTAAAGGTTGCAAAGAAATAAAGGGGTACAGCGGGCGACTGTAAGAGACAAAGGTGGCACAGCTTTTCTTTGCCACAATGCATTGAGACAAATAAACTCAAATAATTCTCAGATTTTTTAAATTTTATTTTCTACAGATGTCAGGCAAATTCAAAAACAGTGTTGATGAAATTGTTTCAGTAAAAAAAATGGTTAATATTATAAAACTGTTTCCATTTTTACAACAGCATATTGATCAAATTCATCAAAAGCCCTTACCATGAACATATATATTTGCTCAGAACTGGATTGTGGTCTATTATAGCTACCTATTCAACAGGAAAAACAAACAACTGGAAAATAATTATTTCTTTATAGTTGTACTTTCTTTACAACCGACCATGACTCAGTTCTGTGGTTTAGAATTTTACCAGTGTATTGTGAATGCCAAACACATTAATATTCTTAGTTTCATAGGACTGTTTTTAGGCAATGTTTCAATTAGTTTAGATGTCCAGGAAATATCTGTATTTGTGGCACTGAACTAAACCTCGACAGAAACAAATGTTTTCATTGCTCTTTAAAACCAGGAGAAAATGAGTTTTTTTCATTAAGTAATGCCTGTTCTTATCAAAAGGACTCATTAACAAGAGCATTTAGTTTTTGAAGCAGCAGTGTAATTTATTCCTCGTTAAAACATTAGTCGCGAGGGATCCAGAATTATCCAAGAGAAAGGCCACTTTTCTACCGTCTTTTCACAAAACATAAAAAAACAGGTAAATATTCTGATAGCTGAGGTTCTCCCAGATCATGTTTACGAAAATTGAGAAGCTCGGCCTGAAAGTGAACAGAATGTTTTCCTTCTAAAAGCTGTACATCAGTTCCTGAGCCCTTGGCTGTTTAATTATGCAACATTTTAGTCTTAACAGCAAATTAGCGCACTACCATTCCATTAAGGTGAAAGCTTCCCTATGCAGACTGGCACGCAATGCTTACTCTGTGGCCCGTCTGTATCCTGGTGATTAACGCCTGCACACATGAAAATCTAGGATGAAGAGTTCAGCCTTTAACCTGACCGATCACACTGCCCACTTCATAAGGCAATATCGCCATCGAACAGTTATTAGCAATGTGCACAAGACCGTTTTTTAATACAGCTTTCATTACCCCTCAAGAGTGGGGTAACTGTAAAATCCTACACTTCCCATGTCGGGTAGCTCAGGTGTAATTTGGGCAAGGAAGCCAGAACATGCCTACTGTGAGCTGTCAGAGGCATGTCGACAGTGTCCCTGTAGCAGCTCAAGAAGTAGCCAGTTTGGAACTCCACATGTCCTTTGCTGGCTGCACAACTGCCGGCTTAACACCCTCCTCATTCAAAGAGGAAAGAAAAAACTCTTTTTTACCACAGCAGGAGACATAAAATTGAATCGGTCAACGCTCACAAGCAGTTCTTAGATATGGCTTAGTTTACCGTGACAGAATCTGGATAAATAAACCATGATGGAAAGGGCATCCATTGCATGATCTTGTAATTCCAGAACAAAGCTGGTTACGGTTATTTGAAACAACAGTGGAATACTTTGGCAGCATAATTTGACATATCGCAACACTGTGGCAGCGGTGCTTTCTTGACTTTGTACACAGACCCACTGCAAGCTGGCTGTTGGCCAACGCCAGGCAGATTTCAAGCTGCCTCCTGGAATCACATGCAGTGCAGGACAGGTCTGATGTCCTTGGCGAGTCTTGTGTGCTTCCGGGCTGTGGCCAATTTTGGCAGGACACCATGTAAGGAGGCGCAGGGTGTAGTTTTATTCTACCCTAACATTTCAATCTACTTAATAAACGTCCCACAGAACAAGAAATGAAAGTAGAACACATATGGAATCTGTGCACCATAGGGGGAGGCTTTTAAACTGAGGGAAGAAACAGAATCTGTTTTTTAAGTTGTTTGACTTATCCACCTTCGGAGAAACTCCTATGTCACTATTTGTCTTGCTTAAGAACTTAAACTAAAGTTATAAATAAAAAAAAAAACTGGGAAAGGAAACCCCAAGCACTGTATTGACCATTTAAAGACCAGAATTCCATGTTATGCTGCTTCGTGGCTTTCTTTGAGTGAATGGGTTTGGGTCAGCCAGGGCGCCGTCCTGGCTGGTGAGTCCTCGGGGTGTGCGGCAGAATGCTGCCCCCTGGTGGAGATGTCAGTACCACTACAAGTGCAGTCCTATTGTGGCAGAGGCAAATCAGGGCACTTTCACCTCAGAGCACTTTCTCCACTTTTGCTTGTAGGGACTTAAAGTTTCCAATGAGTTGCTGCAAGGCAGAATTGGGACTTAAAGACTGCAGCTCCACCAGATACCCACAAATGCAGTCCAGACAAAAGGTTGTAAACCTCCGCCTACGTGGGGAGAGAGAAAGAGAAACATTAATAAAAATCCCGGTAAAAGCATTATAGTGTGATGGCAAGGCAGATTTTGATTATTTAAAGCACTATTGCATTCTCACATTTTGTGGTGTACACACCAGAGGTGTGTATGGCTGGAGAGGGAGGAGGATTTGAACAACGAAACTGCTATCCTCCTGTCCTGCTCACTGCTGGGATGGGAGACCTCCACAGAAAGCAGCATACTTTTGTAAGAGACGATGATGGAACAGGTGGGACAGTCATGGTAACCAAAGACACTGTGCAGTCAGAGGCGCCGTCTTTCCAATGAGATGTTAAACTCTCTCAACTATGGTCATTAAAGATCCCACGGCCATCCCGTTAAAAATCCCACTCCGAGTCGGCACAACGTGACCTCCCTAAAGTTCCCCCTTTATTCAACTGGTGAATCAATTTCTAATTTCGCTGCTTGAGGCACAGGTTGCACTGCAGTGGTGGATGAAATGGATACAGTATAAAGCACGCCGGGATAAATCCAGGTTTCCCTCACCAACAGCATCACTCAGACACAGTTTCCATATCGATTTAGCGCCCGGCTTCTCCACCAACCCATGACTCTGTGTTTTTTCGTCTTCACTCGCTCATGCACCAGCCTCTCTCCGCCCAGCTGTGTATTTGTCATGTTTTCATGCGCACACGAGATTTCAGTGCTCTCTGAAGTCCGTTCAAGTCTTTTGCCATTTTTTTAATCGTAGGATGCAAGGTAAAGAACATTCCATTTTTCTACCAATTAAACTTTATTACTCTTCATTATTCTACTGTGACAGTGTGGAGTGGGAGGCTCTGTGGCGAGCACCGGTAAATGTCGACGCCCCTAACTGAGGGTCGGAAACACCGGTGTGAGGTTAGCAGGGACCAAAATTAATACAATTAGAGGTGAAAAATGAACAAAAGGGCAAGTAGAAAGTGTACCGCTGTGCCACGTGAACCCTGGGCTGGGCATGCCCTGTTTAACGGGGTCCAGCCTGGGAAAAAAAAGGAACCGCTAGCACAGCGGTGACCAGACTGGGCTTACCCTATTTAACGGGGTCCAGTCTGGTAGAGCAGGGCGCGTAAGGCACAAAAAAAACACAATAAAAACTTAGTGCGTGAAAAAGGTGCGTCTGCCCCGGTGAAGATACGCGATGCGGAAAAACTGGCAAAAAGACCGCCTTACGCAGGTGCAATCCCCTCTGGGACCGTAGGTGTAAAATTCCCTATTCCGGGGTTGTCCCTGCTCGTCCCTTCGGGATGTCCAGTGTGCCTTTATAGGACCTGCCCAGCTGTGGCTCGTCAGAAGCCGGGACAGCTGGGACTATATAGGGGAGGCGTCGCCCTTCTACCAGGGCTCTGCTTCCACACTGGGCAAACCCCACGTAATGCCACACTACCAATTATATTTTTATTGTAATTCATATATTGAATTACAATTCACAGTATTGTATAAATAATTTGAGAAATCTTCAGGTTAACTGTCGATGAGTGAAACACAGACTTTAAGAAGCTAACCCCTTACTTCCAATAAACCCAAGTATTTACCAAGCACAGATTTGCCACCTAGAGGGCAACATAACCCCAAAGAGACCTGTATAAGGAGCGCTCACATTTTTTTCTCAGTGTTGATTCTCACACTGAAATACATAGAGAAAGGTTTCTCAGATTGTCTATTTTGCCCGCCTCAAGGCTAGCTGGTGTGAATATACTGTGTGAAGGCGCTATGAACAGTGGATTAACAGTTTATCAACATTAACACCTGGACCCAGAGTTTTGCTTCCTTGGAGTATGGTGCTTCGCTCTGATTGAACAAATGCCAGTGCTGCTTCAGGATAAACCTGCAAACCTCAAGTATCCCATCCAAGCACAGTTCTGTACTCTCATCTGCCCCGTGACACAGAAACCAGGATAGCCTCCTGGCCTGTGAGACAGTGAGCCTGAACAGGACTTCAGTCTTAATAGCTGACTATGTAGTTCTTATTTTAGAAGCGCCGTAACCTCTATTATTACACCCTAAACAGATAAGGACGTTCAACAAGCTGAAGAGGGGTGGGCGTACCTGTCGTAGGAGGGCACTCTGCTCGGGTCCTCCACGTACCCCGACAGCAGGACGTGAATACACTCCACCAGGTGAAGGGGCCTTTTCAGTCGCTGCCAGCAGGGGTCCTGAAAACATCGCAACCATTACCGCCAGAAGGAGAACCTCAGTCCTGCCTTTCAGTCCTCGCTTGCCCGTAGGCACTAATGGAGAGAATGAAGCGCATTCTGGTGCACACACTGGCTGGAGGTTCCACCTGAGAAACCTTTATTTATTATAGTTAAATGCTATTTTAAACATGTAGCAATCTTTTTTCTTGCTGTAATCCTTATTTTCAATATCTTAAGTCATTTATTTCTAAAACCATGAAATATCATTAGTTATGTTGCAATTTCCTTTTTATTTTTTCAAGTCACCTATGAACTCATTGAGTTTCTCAAATCTAAATGATTGTATTTTTCTTAATCTGCTCTTAAGCCAAGCTCCCAGCACACCCTCTAAACATATCAATATAAATGGAAAGCACCTCTTCTGCCCAGCATTCACAAGAGGCAACACACGAAAGCAGTCAATGTGTTCGAGAAGTAAAGTGGTAATAGTTGGCTTAAAGGTAGCTGCTACCTTTTCCGGGTCCTAGAGAGTCTCTCCGGAACGAGAGCGCTCCTCATCACGAGCTTCTCCTTACCCGAGCTCGGAACAGCTGGTCGTACACCTCCAGCAGCCGCGGCAGCTGAACTCCGATCTCCTGCATGGTGTAGGTCACGAAGCCCACGTCCCAGCTCAGCCGGCACACCTCCTGCTCCAGGAACTTCACCAGGAACTCTGGAGCGGGTCGGAAAGCAGAGGACAAGAACCGCTGAGCAGGGGGGCCGAGAGCGGAGGAGGACGAAACTCTGTTCGGGAAAGGGCTTCTTGGAATGCTCACAGAAAGGGACAGCAACACCAAGCCGAGGTCTTTTGCTCAATTGTAAGAAGCGACCATAATCACAAAACAAGAAGAGGACACAGGTCAGAGCGGAGGAAGGCATCAGTGACAATAACTGCTGCTGCAATTTCTAACGTCATCATGGCTTCGGGTAAGGGTGGGCAACACTAAAAAATACTTAGCGCAATATTTAAGATGCTCCAGGTGTCACAAGACATCACATCACAATACCGTATGAGTAACTGGCACTTGTAACTTTATTGTAACAGAGTGCAGGGGATGGCAAGGACTTTTGACATATGACATCTCTAAACATACATCTCAATGGTGGGCAAAAGACTCATAAGCCAATGTGGGTTAATATGACACAATGAGCCACAGTTCTTTTAAAAGGTCAGGGACCCGAGACCATAAAATATTAAGCAGGAACAGAAACCAACGGCCTCATACTCTTGTTGAAATGATATGCACACGTCTGATGCAACCTCACTTGCCTTGTTAAGTGCCTTGGGGCAACCTTGTTGTGAAAGGCGCTATATAAAAATAAATTGAATTGAACTGAATTCTGATGCACAGATAAGTGCCAGATTACCATATCTCATTCCTTCAGACTTCCAACCAATGGAGTTAAAAAAAGGTCAAGTCCACAACAAGCTCACGGGGCCAGAACTCATCCTTAAGTTTATGTGAATTAAGTTTATGTTAAGTTTATGAGCATTAAGTGAATGAGAGAGCACATGACTCTCCCCAGTCCATGAAAGTGGTTACACCCTTCAGCAATGCTGGTCCTTACTTATACAGCTCAGTGGAGTAAAGTACCTTCCTCAAGGGATCAAGCTCAGGCAAAGCAACATCTGCACAGAGAACCAGAACTGACAGTTACCCCCTCTACAAAGTGCTGCCCCACCTTACTTGTGCTGTACGGGGTGAATTCTGAAAATTAGCAAGAGCACTAAAGACACCACACTGCAACAGTCAGCACAAAACCAAGTGCGGCCCAATCTACTGCAACTAATTACAGAAGCCTGTGTTTTCGTGATGGGTAATTTATTTCAAATGGGTTTAACCACCATTTGATGATGTGTAATGGTTAAATATAATCAGCAGAAATCGATGAATCTGAATGTCAGCTTAATACATTCTGGCCACAGATATAAAAGACGAAAATGAAAACGGCACACTAGTAGTCCGTATTCTCAAAGGTTGTAAAGTGAAGCTTTTCATGGAAGACCAAGAGAGATTACTAGATTACTAGATTGCTCTGCTTTGTCTCTCCAAAACACTGCAGGTGCCCAGAAAGCGTCTGAATATCCAGGACACAGAAGTGCTGCTGCTGTCTAAATTACCTCTCTTGGGGAGTCTTTAAAGGAAGGCAGTCAACAAGCCATTAGCGTCTGTGGATCCTCAATAGGACAAGAAGGGTGCTCCCCAGTGGGATCCCACACGCCACCAGAGTCTTTCTGCAGAGAGAAGGGCCCCTGAAAAGCTAATGGGGGCTCTCAGCTCTGGGACTCAGCACAGAAACAGGAAGGGGAGATTAATTACCAGCAGCTGCCTAATCAAGCATGACTACTCCCCCTCACTTAGAGACACGCAACTCTGTGCGAGGCCTTCTCCCTGGCAACATTATTCCAAATAACATTCCAGGAAAAAATAAATAATTGTACCCTGCTTAATAATGATCAATTTACTTCTAGCTTTTTTGCATATGCTGGATGCACTATCCACTCCAAAGATACCAAACTATTCAGCTCACGAAATGCACCTTCATTTTTGAATGACACGATTGTGTGCTTCATTTTAAATGTGTAACTTTTTCTTCACATCAAAGAATTGATCTTATCACCGAGATTTATGAACTGGTCTGAGAAATTGGGACTGCAGTTCCTCTTTAACAACATCATGGCTCCCAGCCGCTGACCCCAGTGTGCCGGACCTACCCAGGGGGAAATAGCGCGGGGTTCCTGCGTAGATCTTCCCAAGAGACACCAGTTTGAGGCTCAGGGCTCTCATCCGGTCTGCAGGGCTCATCGCCACACTGTCACTCAGCTCTGCAAAGCACAGTTCAGAGAGTTCAAATCATTAAATCGAGTGTTTTAGTGGCGATCCGAAAAAAAAAGGCACGGACAACAAAAAAATCGAAGGGTCCTAGAAACTGACTCTAAATTTGTATCAAGTTTCATATCACACCAGCTTTTTCACAGGAAACTTGATACAGATTTAGAGTACAGTAGAGCTGTGGTTGAGCAAATCCATGTTAACCAGACCTAGCAACACGGATGGCTTGCGTACAAGGTAAGAATGTGCAGATAGCATAAATCAGTTGAGCACCTAAGTCATCGTGGACAAAAATCCTGGACTTGGTAGTAGGTCTCGCCTGTTACCTTTCTCCACGATTTCCTGCCAGAGGGTGTGCACCAGCATGGGCTCTGAATGGCCAGCACAGTGAATGATGGCCAGCTTGCATTCCGACAGGCGAAAATGATCCGCAAACTCCCCATACAGCTACAACAGAGTGAAAGGGAGTAAAACACAGATAAAACCACATTTCTGATCTTTGTTTGGACAGGAGGCGGTGACCTAAATGGAACATCTGCACTGGGATGACTAATTTCAAAGGTTACAATTTACCCACTGTTTTTTTTAAAAAACAAGGCAAAAAATAAACATTTTATGTAAAAAATAAGCATAATTAGCTTATTATTAACCTTGAAGATGTTCACTAAATATCAATTAGAATTGACGTTTCTATGCCAGGTCTGTACTGTACAAATGTGACCAAAAGTGATGACCAAATAATTCCCATGCAAATTTGGTTTTCCATAATAATTTTTAAGGAAAATTAGGTATTTCTATAATAAAGAATCACCGATGACCAAATTCCAATGCTAGATATCTGGGTTGATATCCTCAAAATTGTCTCGACATGCTACTGTAATTACAAAAACGACATTTCCAGGCCCTCGTCACTGGGGACTTCCTCAAAGCGCATAATGACATGGACATTTCCCGTCTTCTGAAGAGCCAGTATACCTTGGTGATGTCCATGAGTTCCGAATCCAGCTGGGAGATCGCCCCTTGCACTGACGGATGATGGGAATACTGTCTGCTAAGCGTTTCTTGAATCTGCACTTGAATACGAACCACCTGAGAAACGAGCAGAGATCATGCGACTGCATTAAACTGAGAAAGAAAAGACACATATATCCCTTCATTTCATAGCCCTACTGGAAAATGATAATTAACTGTACAAAAATATATTTTTTATTATTTTCCCTTTAATAATGCTACTTTAACGCTAATGTGGACTAATCAGCTTTTTTAATTCAAACTTTAAACCACTGGATTAAGACATGATTGCAAGCAGTATGTCATGTCTACCAATTTTGTAAAGAGGCTGCGTTAAAAAATGTCCATAATTAGCCTAGAATTAAAAAGTTAGTTTGTACTTTTGAATATTTTACGAGGTAAATATTGAGGTAGGCCAATGTCTTGTATCCTTCCACGTGTATAAAACGTGTTTATCAGTTTATTTATTTATCAATCCGCAAAATCTTCAAGGTCTGTTTTGAAAACAAAAAGATTATGAGGACTTGCTCTTGAAAAGTAAGGTTTAAGCCATCTCCCCTCCAGGTCTGACACCCCCCTGCGTGAAACACGCCAGCTTTCCTTGGCAGAGACACCACGATCCCGAGACCCGGACAACTCCTCCCTGGGATTATATCCCTACCTCCATCTTCTCCTCCAGCTCGTGCAGGAACTCGCCGTCGCTGGCCTGCGAGGAGGCGCAGGAGGAGCTCTTGGCGCTCAGGATGGCCCGGGAGATGTACTCCAGCCGCTGCCTCAGGGAGATCTCGGTGCTGCGGAGACAGAGGACGGGGGGGGGAGACGGGAGACCTGTCAGGCAGAAACTCATCCATCTGCTTCATAGCCCAAACTGACGCTGCAAACACAGGGCAACTTCCCCCAGCTGCCACTGACCTCCTCTTTCTAAACTTGCCCTTTAAAATAAATTATTTCCAAACATTGGCCGCAATGGACAGCAGTTAACAGCAGGTTACTGTCAATTGCTATCCGTTTCTCTAAGCCGTCACTAAGAAAAGAATCACTTATACCTAAAAGGCATTCTCTCAGCCACAGCAGGATAACTGTGGTGAGGTGTCTGTTTCCTGTTACGCAGCAAAGTCACATTATCCAGTCAGTAGAGCCCATGCAAATCTGTACAGAGAAAAACTGTGTACAGCAGACAAAGAATTGGCTAAAATCACTGTGATGGACACTTGCTCTGCGGTTGTAACATTGCAGTGGGCTGCTAGAAGGTAGATGCAGATTGGGACACACTTAGAAAGACGGCCAATTACTGTGCACACAAACACTACCCAGGCAGTGACCCTGCCTGCTCTCCTGTGCATGTCCGCCTGTCGATTATTGTGCACACACACACACACTACTCTAGCAGTGACCCTGCTGCTCACCTGTGCATGTCTGCCTGTCGATTACTGTGCACACACACACACCTCTCCAGGCAGTGACCCTGCTGCTCACCTGTGCATGTCTGCCTGT